CCTCCCGCCCATGGCATCTGCCGGCACGGCGGTGACCTGCTGGAGGGGAAGGAAACCTCTCCGTCAAGGGCTTGGACCACGCGCCGCATCTAACAGATTGGCTCCGACTTGCGGCCAAGGGTTTTCTCATCCTCCCAGCGCCTTGTTCTTTTTTAAGCAATAGCAGCCTGTGCACAGGAGGCAGGATCCAGGAGGCGACTGAAAATGGAAAATAACTGTGTATGTGTAGATTTGTGGGAAAAAAGAGAAATGTTGCTCTCCAGAGCTGCACTGCTTTGGTTTTGTATGGGATCACGCTAGCGTGTTGCAACAGAGAATTAGGCCCAGGTACTTTGTGTTTTAGCACAAAATAATCATTGGGGTTTTTTTTTCATAGACTTGGGAACAATCTGCAACACATACTTTATATTTACTAACTTAATATATATTAAATTATAATTTATTTAGCATTTACAATATATCTTAATAAGGTATCATTTCATAATTTATAATAAAATATGACTATAAAATAATTATAATCTTATATAAAGTAAGACCTAGCAAGATTGCCAAGCTACTCTATCCTCGAAGAGAATTTGCTGTCCCCTGGCCTCCCTGGAAACCAGAGCCACACTGACCCCTTCTCTTTGTAAACAGCAACAGCAAAGCACCGAGCGAAGGATCAGAGTTTTTCACTGGCCCCTGCTCCAAAAACTCCCCTGGTTCCCAACGCCAGATAAGCAGGAGCGCTGGCTGCGGTCCCAACACTGACTTCACCCAACAAATTAATTGCTTGTACCACGTCCATTACAGTTGTTCAAAATGACCTCCAACCGTGCACGGCAGCGTCATGCTACATTCCCAACGTTGGAAATATTGCTTGATTTCTCCTTTCCGCCAGTCCCCTGCTCGTTGTTGTGCTTCCACTGGTCGGGCGTAACAGGGGTTTGCGTTCCCCCGGCCAGTTGCCCACATAAAAGCAATGTTTAATTACACAGCGTCTTTGAACGTAGATGCGGGTAAGATCCTCCTGTGATGGAAATTGCGTGGCTCCCCTGAAGGATGCCAGCTATGATGCTGATGCCTTTCTGGCAAAATCTTTGCTTATCCAGTAGCAATTTGGCTGAATCCACGATCTTATTTGACAGACAAGGAAAGAAACATTTCTGAATATGCTTTTGGACGTGTTTAACCACTGTTTACTTCGAAACAAATTCTCTTGCTAAAAAGATCAGGCTTGGGGTTTGGTTTGTTTTTTTTATTTTTTTCTTTTTTTTGGGTGAAGTTTTGTTTTGTTTTGTTGGGTTTGTGCAAACTGTCACCGGGGGAGACGGCACGG